CTCACTAACAATCAGCATCTGCCCTACCCTCAGGAAATCCCCTTACGCTGAGCACCTACAGGAGCTTTTCATTTAACTGAGAACCCAAGGCTCTTCAAGTAACTATTACTGATAACCACCGAGCAAAAAACCAGAGGATAGCTTTACCCTTCCTTGGCTAGCAACTCTAGCCAGGAAGGTGGGACTTAACATTGGTGTTTAAAGTGGGTCCTCCCTCACTCATCCAAACCCAGAAGAGGGAGCCACAAACAGCAAAACACCAACACCCATAGGGAAAATTTGGCAGGATCCAAAGCCCACTGTGATAGCCAAAATTGTGAAACACAGAAACAAAAGCCAAATGGAAGAACAAGAGACCTATACTAAAGATGAGAGAAATGTAGAGCAGTTAAACAAGTTAACAAAACTAGAATTCAGAGCTATGATCTTGAGGAAGCTCAACAGCATGAGTAAAAACATAGAGATGTTGAAAATCAACCAATTGAAAATTTAAAATTGCCAAGAAGAAATGAAGAATGACATATCAGAAATGAAAAACACATTGGAAGGTCTAAACAGCAGAGTGGAAGAAGCTGAGGATCGGATCAGTGAATTAGAAGACAGGGTAGAAAAAAATCAACCAATCAGAAAACCAAAAGGAAAAAACAATTAAAAACCAGGAAGACAGCTTAAGAGAACTGTGGGACAACCGGAAACATAATAATATTCGCATCATAGGAGTCCCTGAAGAAGAAGAAAATAGCAAGTGTTAGAGAATATATTTGAAGAAATAGTGACAGAAAACTTCCCTAATTTGGTGAAGGAAGAAGGCATTCAAGTTCAAGAAGCACAGAGAGCCCCAAGTAAGAAGAACCCAAAAAGGAACACACCAAGACACATAATAATTAAAATGCCAAAAATTAAAGACAAAGAGAGAATCCTAAAAGCAGCAAGAGATAAGCAACAGGTTACCTACAAAACCCCATAAGGCTCTCAGCTGACTTCTCAACAGAAACACTACAGGCCAGAAGGGAATGGCATAAGGTAATCAAGGTCATAAAAAACAAGGATCTGAATCCAAGACTACTCTACCCAGCAAGGCTATCATTCAATATAGAAGGAGAAACACAGAGCTTCCCAGACAAAAAAAAAGGCTAAGGGAATACATTAGCACCAAACCAGCACTGCAAGAAATGTTAAAAGAACTGCTGTAATTAGTAGAAGGAATGGGAAGAAAAATATAACCAAACTAAACAAAAAAGGCAATAAATAAGTACATATCAATAATCACCTTAAATGTAAATGGATTGAATGCTCCCATGAAAAGACACAGAGCAGTTGATTGGATAAGAAAGCATGACTCATCTATATGTTGTTTACAAGAGACTCACTTCATAACAAAAGACTCACATAGGTTGAAAGTGAAGGGATGGAAAAAAAATGTCCAAGCAAACGGAAAGGATAAAAAATCTGGGGTAGCAATACTCATATCTGATAAAATAGATTTCAAAATGAAGGCCATAACTAGAGACAAAGAAGACCACTACATAATATTGAAAGGATCTATCCAACAGGAAGATATAATCATGATAAACATATATGCACCCAATATAGGAGCACCAAAATATATTAAAATCTTCTGGAGGACTTCAAAGGATAAATCGACAGCAATACAATCATAGCAGAAGACTTCAACACTCCACTGGATAACTGGATAGATCATTTAGACAAAAAATTAGCAAAGATAAGAGACATATGAAGAAATGCTCGACATCACTAATCATCACAGAGATGTAAATTAAAACAACAATGAGCTATCACCTCACACCTGTCAGAATGGCCACCATCAACAAATCATCAAACAAGTGTTGGCAAGGGTGTGGAGAAAAGGGGACTTTAGTACACTGCTGGTGGGAATGCAGACTAGTGTAGCCACTATGGAAAACAATATGGTGTTACCTCAAAAAATTAAAATTGAACATCCATTTGACCCCATGATCCCAGTTCTAGAAATATACCCAAGGAAGCCTGAAACACCAATCAGAAAGAATATATGTACCCCCATGTTCTTAGCAGCACTATTTACAATAGCTAAGATCTGGAAACAGCCCAAGTGTCCATCAGTAAATGAATGGATAAAAAAGCTGTGGTACATATACACAATGGAGTACTATGTAACTGTAAGAAAGAAAGATTTCTTATCCTTTGAGATGACATGGAGGGACCTGGAAAGTATTATCCTAAGTGAAACAAGCCAAGCAGAAAAAGACAAATACCACATGATCTCACTTATTTGTGGAATATAATGAACATAAAAGTCTGAGGAATAGGGTAGACCCAGAAACATGGAAGTATGGTACCAACTGACAACCCTCAGAAGAGAGGGTGGTGGGGGAGGGAAGAGATAAACCATGAACTTATACATATGTACGCATAACCAATGGACATGGACAACAAATCTGGCAACAGGACCAGGGAGACGGTGAGGAGAATGTCAATGGGGTAAAAAAGGAGAAACATCTATAACAAAATAAAATTTAAAAAAAAAATTTTTAATAAAAAAATAGAATAAAAATATGCTCCAAGAACATTTAAGACATTTCATATCATTTTTGCACTATTCACTTAGTTTTTATAACAAAAGTAAACTTCAGTGCAAAGGAGGTAACTAATGTCAAATCATAAAATAGGAGAATGGAAATTGTAAGATTGAACCCTGGCTAATGTGGCTCAGTTGGTCGAGCATTGCCCCGTACATGAATTGGTCACCAGTTCAATTCCTGGTCAGGGCACATGCCCAGGTTGCACAATTGATCTCCAGTAGGGAACATGCAGCAGGGAGCCAATTGATTTTGTTTCTCATTGATATTTCTCTCTCTTTCTCCCTCTCTCTTCTCTCTCTAAAATCAATAAAAACATATTTAAAAAAAATAAAATACAGAGTATTTGGGGATTACCTACAATAAAAGGAACAGATATAATCCAAATAAAGTAATCTTGCCCTGGCCCATTTGGCTCAGCGGTTAGAGCGTCGTCCTGTGAACCAAAGAGTTGAGGGTTTGGCTCTGGTCAAGGGCATGTACCTTGGTTGTGGTTCAGTCCCTGGCCCTGGTTGGGGTCATGCAGGACTATGTCTCTCTCTCTCTCCCTTTCTTTTTCTCCTTCATTCCCACTCTATCTGAAACTCAGTGGAAAAACATCTTCGGATGTGGGTTAAAAAAGGAGAGAGAGAGAGAGAGAAAAATAAGATAATCTTTTTTAAAAAGGAGAACTTGTAAGATTGAATTGAACCATACAAAATCATGGCAAGATACAGGATAGGATCCCATTCTGGATCTTCCATACAGACAAAAAATATATTGATCATATGCTGTCTTCTTAAAGGTAAAGTCAATAGACATGTGCTAAGGATGCTAGATAATGATTACATCTTTAGAGGAATAACTGGCAATATGTCCTATAAGTGATAAGTTTTTCAAGGCCAAACATTTTAAAGATACTAAATAAGAATAGAATTAAAACAAATATCAATTATTATACCCATAAAACTTTTAGATGGCTTGTGCAATTCAAAATTTAGCCATGAGAGTTAAAGGCAAGGAATACATGCATGCCCATGAATTGTTCTGCAAGTCAATGATGAAAGGTTACTGACAAAGGCTATACCTACTCAGGTTAGAGCCACATCAGCTGAAAAGGCTAACACTCTGCTCTTTCCCTTAGGAGCCCTGTATCTCAGATGACCTTTGAATTCTCTACTATGCCCTCCTCTTCTTAGTCAGGCTAGGATACCAAGAAAGGTATCAAAACTGCTGTGTATTTAACTTCTGAATCATTTCTTTCTCCCACTTTTGTGAACTTTTTCCATTCAAAGGAGAAAATTGATTGCTAAATATGGTATTTTCTTTCTATTGCATGTTAAACTTCAGCTTTGATAGAAAAATAATGGTCTGTCACAAAGACATCTTTGGCATTGTAATTTCTTTTCTTCATTTTATGATAATTGACATCTGACAGAAAATGGTAAATAAGTTAAATTTTAGGTTGATGACTCAACCCAAATGACAAAAAAAAAAACTTCATTAGTGATCTAAGAACTACAATAGATATTTGTTGATCAAGAAGATTATTTTGCATGCTTTTTGAAACTCATAAGATAAAAAGCAATTCCATCTTTTAACCCTGGCCAGCATGATCAGTGGTTAGAGCATCAGCCTGAGGACAGAAAGGTCTTGGGTTCAATTCTCAGTCGAACATATGTGCCTGGTTGCAGGTTTGATCCCCTACCCTAGTAAGGGTTGTGCGGGAAGCAACCAATTGATGTTTCTCTCTCTCTCCCTCCCTCTTTCCCTTCTTCCCTCCCTCCCTTCCAATCTATCTAAAAATCAATGCAAAAAAATATCCTCAGGTAAGAATTAACAAAAAAAATCTTTCATGTACTCTTAATTATTCTGCTTGCTCAACCTACAAAAGAATCATGTCTAGAGTTATTTACATGATTTGTTGGCATTGAAAACTCTTATTACAGTACAAATTATTAAAATATTAACCTAAATCTATCCAAGTAGCAATAAAATAGAAATGAGTTAAATAACATTTATTTAACTCTTTTATTTATAATACACGTTTATGGCTTTTTAAACTTTTTTGAGCAAAAAGACCAATACTTCAATAATCAGGTGTTCTGGAAATAAGTGTCTAATAAATAAATAGAAATTTTAGATACATTTAGTTTCCTGAGTATTATTATAAACATTTATCATAATAGAATATCATCATTATATGGTCAAAGTAAATTTTTTTTAAAAGCTGTTATGCTTTTGATGTGCAGAAATATGATAGATACTAAATAAGCAGTGGCAGGAGCAGACAGACTCTGGAAGACAAGTCTAAGCGGGCTCCGGGCTCCCATATCAATACCACACTCTTCAGACAATGTAGAGGCACCAGAAATGAGAGAAAAGGTCACCCTTTTCCATTACTAAAATTCACCTGTGTTTGGTTACATGCCCCCTACCGAACTAATCATTGTTTGTTTGGTTGGTTTTTTTTGTCATCTTTGCGCAAGGACCATGCTAATCTTCTCTGTATCGTTCCAATTTTAGTATATGTGCTGCCAAAGCAAGCACTAGTCATGTCAGTTATAATCATTGTCAGGGAGTTACAGCTTTTATATTCAGTCTTGTTCCCAACAGGAAATAGATGGCACACCCAAATTAAGATGATTCAAACAGAAGTTGTTTACAAAGGGACTGATTATAAAAATGTGGTGTGGATAGAACCATAATCAACACTGCTAAGGACTTGCCGGTGCACCATGCCCAAGAATGAACCTAGATGTAAGATTCCCATGTGACCTGGACCCAAGACAGGTCTCAATGACAGCGGAGCCACCAGTGCCACCTTGGCATGACAAACAGCTGTAGAACAGCAGATAGTAATTGCTGCTGCTCCTGCTGCCACCTTGGTCACTCAGCAGTCACCCAGGGAAACCAGCTGCCATGTAGAAACCACATCCAGGCCCTAGTACCAGCCTCAGTGGCACCAATGGTCAATATCTTTACACAGCTTCAAGTCTCGAGAAGTAGAGACGATTTCTTAACAGCAACAAAATTGATCATCATGCTGAATCCTTCCTCAACTTCTGATGAAGTAACAAAAATTATATTCAAAATTCTGTCTGATATTTTTTTCATATTCAATATCTCTATTAACAGTTCTCAGTAAAATAAGAGGACAGCTTTTCAACGGTTGTCTTTATTGACTTGAACTGATGAGTTATTTTAGAATGTATATTATTAGCTATACTGCTTATTATAGTTTGTAATATTTTATTTGCCAACTGGTATAAAAGCATTTTAATATTTTTAGTTTTGAATATACAGCAAATATGGCTGTTAACATACTTACTATTATATGAAAGAAAAGGTTTCTCCCTGTCCAGTTAGCTCAGTTGGTTAGAGTATCATTCTAATTTGCCAAGGTTATGGGTTTGATCCCCAGTCAGAGCACATACAAGAATCAAGTGATGAGTGCATGAATGAGTAGAACAACAAATATATATCTCTCTCTCTCCCCCACTCCTTCTCTTTTCCTTCCTCTCTCTCTAAAATCAAAGAAAGTAGGGTTTCAATACCTAGAATTCTTTTTAAATGACTGCTATAATGAACTTATCTCTTTCTTCATACTGCAATGATTCGTATAACCCAACAGTGAGCTCTTGGAGGAAATGTTTTATGACATATTCATTTTTATACCCAGAATGCCAACTATCATGGTGAAACTAAATAAATGCTTGCTGAATAGGTATATGTCTCCTTGCCCCAACTATTGACAAACTATATAATCCTTGATCACCTGGGCTGTCTTCTATGTATATGTATTACATACAGAACCTAACACACACTGCATTGCTTAGTAAGTATTGATTGATTTATGCTCACAACTTAGGCAACAACTCAAGAGGTTCAGCCATTGTGCTCTCTGATATTCTGTTCAGATGACAGTTCACATTTGTTCTATGCTAAGTCACAACTAGGTAATATGCAAATCATTAACATTTAACCAGGTCATTTCTGAAATATCGACATACTTTGTAATTTTTTATTTATAATATTTTCTAAAACATATGACTTTACTAACTGCATTTCCAAGTACATCTATTAAAATACTTTTAATCTAGAGATAATAATAGCACTACTAGTAGGAATCAAAGTAAAAAAAGATAGAAGTTAAAGTTACTGAATGAGAATTGCTTCTTCATATAATAAGTTAAACAAAAAAGCTTGCAGATTTTAGAGAAACACTATTTGGTAGCAATTTTAATATTCTCATATGGAAAAAAAATTAAGTTGAGGTCCATAAAGAGGAGTCCACCTTTCTTGTCATTCAAATATAGACAAATTTTTCTTAATTATTTTGGGAATGAATCCCAAGGTGTTGCTATCTTAATCATCCTCTGTGCTTTAATTTATATCTTGGCATTCTAGGGTAACTTACTTTCTAAAACAGATAAATAAGATATATTTTACAGCATCAAATAAAGCTAACCAAATAAAATTAAAATAATAAATACCCATATTATTTAAAATTTTGACTTAATACCTTATATTTATATAAAACCAATGTATGTTTAGGCTAAATATGTCTCAGTCAAGCACTGCTTGTTTTATCCAGGTTTAAAAGTTAAGATTTGCTTTATATTTTAGTTAAAAGCCTTGATTAGCCAGCTGACTGGAAGACCAGACTGCACATAAGCAGTTTCAGATCATGACTGTAACATATGCCTTCTTTTGAGTGCTGAATAGTCTATAATATCATTAGTTGAAGATGACAAATCAACTACCCAATTTGATCTGACAGCTATTAAGTACTCACACTATGTTACTAGATTTCTGCTTTGTATACCAGCTCTATCAACCCAAGGGTGCTAAATAAATGTCAATATTAATCATTTGTTTTATTTATGATACTCACTTAATCAGTTGGTACTTACTAACCCTACCAGATATAAATATATACTTTATAGAGCTTAAGTCAAGGCGGTCAAAAGAGAGAAAGTGAATTCAAGAAGGAAAAAAAAAAAAGAGAGAGAGAGAGAACTGCTTCAATTTAACATATTTACAAAAGAAAGAATAAAATAGAAGAGTATGCATCATGTTCAAGTGAAATACATTTTATTCCATTAGTTACATTTGCATAACATATAAGTAACAGTCTAATGCCTTTCAAGTTCTGGTTTTTGAAACAAAAGACAGAGAGAGAGAGAAAAGAGAGATTCTTATGCTTGAAATTGCTCAAACATTGCCATTTTAGCTTGGTTAACTAGTTATTATACATCGAAAACAAAAACTAAAGAAATTGTTAAATCAAGTAGCATCACTAAAATTAGATCTCTTTTAATCTCAGAACAACAGTTTTCATTGAATTTTAATACATCCTAAACATGTAATATTTTTTTTCAAGTAATTCACCATGACATTTTTATTCATGTTTAGGTAGATTTGGCTAAATCAAATTTTGAGATAGACTTTGTCTAATCTAATATTTTATTCTAGATTAAGAAAAAATAAATAAATGCATAGATTAAGATATTTATCAGATTGTTACTACTAACTTTAGAAAGAATTTGTTGTTCTTGTTAATCCTCATCTGAGGATATTTTTTCCATTGATTCATAGATAGAGAGGAAGAGAGGAAGGGAGAAAGAGAGAGATAGAAACATCAGTGTCAGAGAGACACATTGATTGGTTGCCTCCCGCACAACACCGACCAGGGCCAGGGATCCGAACCTGCAACCCATGTATGTGCCCTTGACGAAGAATCAAACCCATGACCCTCTGGTGTGTATGTCAGTGCCCTAACCGCTGAGTCAAATTGGCTAGAGCTAGAAAGAATTTTTTCAAAAAACTTATCTTTATTATTGAATGTATTAAGATGTTCCTCATTTTCCCCCCATTGACTCCCTCCTCCCCACTCCTGCCCCCTTCCTGCCTTTCCCCACACTGTTGTCTGTGTCCATTGGTTATGCATATATACATATAAATTCTTTGGTTTATTTCTTCCCATCCTCCACTCCCCCTTCCCTTTGAAGTTTGTCAATTGAACAACCAATTTGTACTTCTTAATCCCTTCACCCATTCCCCCAAACCCTCTCCCATCTGGCAACCAACAAAATGTTCTCTGTATGAGAATTCTCTGTTCTGCCTGTTCATTTTGTTTGTAGATTCAATTGTCGCTAGATATGTATTCATTGCTATTTTGCTTGTTCATATTTTTTTTATCTTTTTCTTCAAGAACACCCTTCAACATTTTATATAATAATGGTTTGGTGGTGATGAACTCCTTTAACTTTTTCTTGTCTGGGAAAGTCTTTATATGGCCATAAATTCTAAATTACAGCTTTGCAGGATAGAGTAATCTTAGTTGTAGGTTCTTGCTTTTCATCACTCTGAATATTTCTTGCCACTCCCTTCTGGCCTGCAAAGTTTCTTTTGAGAAATCAGCTGACAGTCTAATGGGAAATCCCTTGTAGGTAACGAACTGCTTTTCTCTTGCTGCTTTTAAGATTCTCTCTTTGTCTTGAACCTTTTGCATTTTGATGATGATGTGTCTTGGTGTGGGCCTCTTGGGGTTCATCTTGTTTGGGACTCTCTGTGCTTCCTGGACTTGTATGTCTGTTTCCTTCTCCAAGTTAAGGAAGTTTCTGCCATTATTGTTTCAAATAGGTTTTCGATTTCTTGTTCTTTCTCTTCTCCTCTGGCACCCCCAAGATGTGAATGTTGATATGCTTGAAGTTGTCCCAGAGGCTACTTCCACTATTCTCATTTTTCTTGATTCTTTTTTCTTTTTGCTGTTCTGATTGCGTGTTTATTGTTTCCTTATATTCCAAATCAATGGTTTGCTTCTTGGCTTTACCTACTCTACTATTGAATCTGTGTAAATTATTTTTTATTTCAGTTAGTGACTCCTTCATTTCTGACATGCCTTTTTTAATGCTCTTGAAGCCCTCACTAAGTTCATTGAAGTTCTCACTAAGTTCATTGAGCATCTTTATAAGCAGTGTTTTGAATTCTACATCTGTTAGGTTGCTTATCTCCATTTCACTTAGTTCTCCTGGAGTTTTATTCTATTCTTTTATTTGGGATCTGTTTCTTTGACTCCTCATTTTGGCTGCCTCCTATGTTTGTTTCTACATATTACTTAATGAGAGGCATGGGACTAGCTGAGACCAGATGCTGCTTATTTGAAAAAATTTAGGAAAACCTGAAGCAGGATCCAAGACAGGCTAATCCTATGGTAATGCAACTGGCAACAGCTTGGGTGGGCCTGGAAGTTGGGTGGGGTGGGGCCTCGGGGAATCACCAGGGCGGGGCAATCAGTGTGAGCCAGGTTGCTGGAGTCCCAGATATGGTGGCTGTCTGCAGCCCAGGGAAGGACTCACCAAAGGAACAAAGGCCTCCGATAGCACATTTGTCCTGGAGAAAGTCCCCTCTCCAGCCCTCACTTCAATGCCAAACAACTCAGTTCTTCCCCATATGTCTCTGGTGCCTTTCAAGCTGCCTCCCCCACGCTGGAGCCTGAAGGGTGCCAGTCCAAGTAAATCTGTGCGTGGGCCCTTTAAGAGGAG